CCTTGGCCGAGGAAGAGGAAAGTGGCGGCAGCAATGCGCCTTGGGTGGCAAAGAAGAGAATTCGCGGCTATCGAGGACTGTATCTGCGTTCCGTCATGCAGGCAGAGGGGGGAGCCGATTTTGACTTCCTGACGGCGAATGGTCCACCCCAATAGTCTTAGACAATCAAGATGCAATTGACTCTTGTATAATACATGCTCATGAACAGGATTGTATATCAGGTGAAGCTCGGGTAAGTTGGTATAAAGTCATCAAACAGGCCTCGCATGATGCTATCCAGGTTCGCGTTGTCGCCGGTGTGCATTGGGTCGCCAAACGCAGTGTTGGCGAGAAACGATTCGAATGGATCTTGATGCAGGAAGCTTTCCGAGCCGCTTTCAGTCGCAGAGCTCAATGTCAGTGGTTGGGCGAAGCCTTCTGAGAAGTTCAGTCTGTGGGGATCCGCCCCAACAAGGCTGGCACCTTCGTTGCACGAGCTCATTGTATGCAAATGCGCGGGATCTAGTCGCAGAGATCGACGTTGAGCAGGGGGTTCTACAGCGAAGGTCTGACTGGAAATGTCTTTGACCCATCGGATGGTTGCCCGGATCATGTCATCCAAGATATCCCGGCAACGTTTTGCTCCGGACCAGTGCTCGCCCGTTGCAGCCAAGACTCCTAACCCGGCGCTGAAGTCAGACATGAGGGCATCCAAAGCCGTCTGCTTTGCTATCTCGGGCACCATCTTCAGACAGTAAAGCATAGTGATAATGCTGAGGACTGCTGAGTGACAAGTATTCCACGTATGTATGAGTAAGTTCTTCTTGTATAGCTGATCAAAAAGACGGATGACCTCAAGAGCGGCTTTAAAGCACTTCTTGAGGATCTCGGGCGATGGATTCGGGATGGCGGGGCTAGGCCGGAGAACGAGCATCCGCAGACTGTAGCATCGGATCTGACAGATGGTGCGGATGTAGTCGGAGTCGGGTGAGTTGGGGATTTGGCTGTACCACTCGTCTAGCTGTTCCAACATTCCTTGCTGCCACTCATTTATGTCGATCACCGCCGGGTAGGCGTAACGCGGTGTGTCTCGGACAATGCTGTTCGCAACATATTTGAACTCCGAGTTAAGTTTGGCTAGACGGAACAGATGTATCGAGAAGGCCATGTGACCCGGGGGTTGATTGGCAGGTGGCTGGAGTGATCCTTGCAAGGAAGCATCTTCTATATGCTGTGGAAGCTAAGAGACTGTTAGGGTGGGTTGGCGGAAGAACCATATACTGGGGCGGACATACCCGAAGATCGCATGCCTCATCTCGCAGCCCAATGGGGCGACCCATCATAGTTGCAATCATCCTATCCAAGGTGAAAACCACCCAGAATATCCTAGTCCTCATTTCCTGTTCAAGAAGGGAGATACCTGCGTTAGTGTTGATGTCACGCTGCAAGCCCAAGTCAAGGACAGCAGCGATGCACTGATAGTTCAGATACCATACGTTGAGACGCATGTTGGAACTGTGCATTGTGAATATCGTGAGCAAAAGAAGACATTGCAGTCCAGGAATCGAGCTGTCGATGCTGATCCGATCGAAACTCTGCATCGCAGATAGGCAATATGACTCTCCGGGAAGACGTGCCCTCACTCGACGAGAGAGCACCGTGGACCCCATAGCGAGGACCATAAATACTTGGAAGGCAGCTGTGGGAGTAGATTCCACATCGATCCTATTCTCGTACATTTGATCCATCAAAGCCATGAAGCTAGGCTGATGCAAAACGGGGAATTGGCAGTTGATAACGTCAAAGTAGTTATCTGCCAGCTGCTTCGCGTGATGTCTGCTTGGCAGTGACATTGGGCCATGCATTGCCTCAACAAGAGCAGTTGGTATGGACGGGTTCGATACTCCGGTTTTGATTGGCCAAGATTGGTCATCCTGCCGGTTCGAAGTCAACATCAGTCGGGCGAGGAAGTATCCGCTCGACGGCCCGATATACTTCGGGTCTTGGCTACTACCCAATGACACCATGCCAATCTCGTGTGATAGCGTACTGCTGGCAATGGGATCGACCAAACGAGGTCCTGAACGGATAGCCTGAGTGGCTTGCACTGGCTCTGAAGGTTGAAGCGGCTGTGCTTGTGGAGGCTGACTCCCTGTGAGGTTCAGACTATCCTCGGGCGATGCACTGTTGACTCTGATTGTTGAGTCCCTTGCAAAGGTTTCATCACCATCAAGTTCCATGTCAAAGTCCCCAGACGGGCCTTGACTTAGGTCGACTTCGGGGCATCTTTCCCTTACAATGCTCTCGAGCCACTTGACTCTCTCGATCAAGTTCGAAATTTGACTAGCTGAATGTCAGAAACATGTGGGAAGGTGGGAACTTTGAGAACAGCCATACGCTCTGGGAAGATCCCGAAGACGGACACTTTCGCCGTCAGTGCAAGCAACTCCGGCCTTCTTGCAATTGTTGCACGCAGGCAATTGCCCGTCGCACTATCAGACACCCACTTAGTACCATGCCATCTTCAATTGAGGTTCGGAGGGCCACTTACACGGATCTTCCGCCGCTGGCACCGAGAGCAAGCGAGCCTCAATCGCGCGGTTCTGCGGGCCTGACGGGGTGTCGGCCGGGAGCTGGTATCCTCGGGCATATTGCGTTTTTCGGGGCAGCCAGTGCTTGGCTGGTTTCCGTCATAACATGAGGAGAGCGATGTGGTGTTTGGGTAGGTTGAAGGGAACGAGGCGGAAATTCTCCGAGGTGGAACAGAGGATGAAGTTGGTTGACAGTAGTGGCCCCAGGCCGTGCGGGGAAACCCCGTGGCGTCCTACCCTTTGTTAATTTGCTGTGCCGGGGTTTGCCCGCACTATCGGCTGAATTCCGTCCGGATGCGTGTGCTTCACTGCTCTCTTCCTCGCGACGCCGTTCACTTGCCTTGGTATATCATGAGAGGCCATGCTAGGTTCGAAAATCGTACCTCATATCCAATCAACCCTGTAGCCATTCATACGACAGACATTGCCGTGCAATACTCCACATCATCTCCCAACCTTGCACGGCACATCTTCCGCAATTCTGCGCCTCAAACTCCGCATAGCCATTCAGCAAGATGGCTGACGAGTCCCAAAAGATACCAGTGGCCGCTTCGGAGGCCCGTCGTCTGGTTGAAGACATCCTCAAAGGCAATGGCGTTCCCGAAGAAAACTCAAAGATAGTCGCCCGGTGCCTCGTCGCTGCCGACCTTCGCGGTGTCGACACTCACGGCATGAACCGCATTCCTTCCTACATGGAGCGTGTCCGCCAGGGTGTGCTCAACGCCACAGCCCAGCCCGAGCTGAAGCAAGTCACACCGGTTGTGGCGCACGTCGACGGCAAAAACGGCTTCGGCTTCGTTGCGGCAGAGATGGGGATGGCAGCTGCCATCGAGTCTGCCAAGACTTTCGGCATCGGCATGGCAAGTGTGTCGCATTCCAATCACTTTGGCATGAGTGCGTGGGTGGTGCAGCAGGCTCTTGATGCGGACATGATGAGTTTGGTGTTCACCAACTCGAGTCCTGCGCTCCCGGCGTGGGGCGGGCAGAGCAAGCTCATGGGTGTTTCGCCGATTGCTTGTGGTGCGCCGGGGAAGGACAAGCCTTTCATCCTGGACATGGCCCCGTCAGTCGCGGCCAGGGGCAAGATTTACAAGGCCAAGAGACGCGGCGAAAAGATTCCTCTTGACTGGGCGCTAGATGCTGAGGGACGTCCTACGGATGATCCCACCGCAGCATTGGGAGGTGTCATGCTGCCGATGGGTGGCCCCAAGGGTTCGGCATTAGCAATCATGATGGATGTGTTCTCTGGTGTCTTCTCTGGCTCTGCTTTCGCTGGTCACGTCACTAATCCGTACGACCCCTCAAAACCAGCGGACGTCGGCCACTTCCTGGTCGCCATCAAGCCAGACCTCTTTATGAGTCTGGACGACTTCCGTGAAAGGATGGACTATTTGTACCAGCGTGTTGTTGGGTCAGACAAGGCGGCAGGAGTAGACAGGATATACTTTCCGGGTGAGATTGAGCAGTTGCAACAGCAGGAACGGGAAAAGACAGGCATACCCTTGGTACAGGCTGAGATTGATGCTCTCAACGAGGAGGCAACAAAAGTTGGCGCCAAGCCTTTGGTAACCCAGGTAGCTGCATGAACTATATCGCTTTACGCCACTCTTAGGAAAGCACTCCATGTTTCCATCGAATCTCTATCATTCTTCGAACGGGGTCTAGCGAGGCCTTTTTGTTTTTGGTCATGGCTTTCAGTCAGAATGGAACTGGATGACAACTCAGGGAAGTTTCTCCTTGGCCTGAGGTGATCTTGAGACGCCTAGTAATGGCAGTTGACCAGGCTGAAGTGCCGAGACCAGCAAACTTCCTTGTGTTCAAGTCATCATTATCTCACACGTATTCTATCTGGCATTTACTATTGAGGAGAGAAAAGTAGAAATGATCGTAAACAAATCTAGAACTCTAAAATTGACGATACTCGGAAGAGTATCCCGGCGGTCACTGGTACGAGCGGTGTTTTTTTATTTTTCCCAAGGCCATTGATACCCTCTTCCATATTTCTCCAAGATCAATCGATCCAACGTATGGACATCAAGTACCTGAGATTGCTTTGGTGAGTTACGCGTGGCTCCTTCTTACTTTCTACAAGACAAGTTCCCATTCTTACAGACTTGGCAGGAGAGTCGGCTCAGCCCCTTTCCTGGAAAACCGGATCTTTAACTATGCCTTCCCTTCTTCGCCAAAACTTTTGTTTGAGGAAGTGACACTCAATTCGCAGCGGAAACTTCTTTCCAAAATGTAGCTGCCGCAAAACAGACTGTTGATGTACTCGGAGACTTTTGGTCAACCAGACCTCGATTCTTCCCACGTCATCTCACTCCCAGACAACATCAACTACGCCTACCATCCATCCCAAGTTCAATCCAATCAACACCCATTCATTCTATCGTTCTTTTCTTGGACTCCCCATCATCACCAATATTCATCATGAAGTTCACCACTATCGCTACGTCTCCGCTGTTGCTTGGCTCAGCTTCACTCGTCACCGCCGTGTCTCCTTCTGTACCACTGGATCAGGCTATTCCCCGAGGCATCTCCAGCATCAACCTTCAAGACACAGACGTCGATCAGAAGAAGGACGGTCGTCTTTGTTTCACCCTTGGTACTTTCGACTCTCATTTCGGCGAGTTTGATGTATCTCTGGTCGATGAATCTGTCGACGGGCATCTAGCCAATGGCTTCTGCTACAATCATGCTACCAAAGTCGTCCAAGACAGCCAAGGGAATAATTGTGTCTTCGACGATACAGTCAGCAACCTCCGTTGCTCTGCCGAATCTTCTGAGACCAAATTTGACCTGACCATTCGCCAACCACCAGCCGTCGATTACTCCAAAACATCGGCACGCCCTGAAATGACGCCGTGTACCTCTCTGTTGAGAACCGTATGCTTGGAAAAGGTGAAAGCCCAGTGCGCTTGGTGCTCTCATCACACTACGGATCCTGAGTGTCACAAAGCTACCTTCTGTCCATGGCGTTTGAGTCCCAAATACGGCCTCTCCAGCTCGCCCTCGCCCTCTTCCACTCCGGTATACGACGGAAGCCGGTGCACAGGAGGCAAGCCTTTCCTCCCTGCTTGGCACCAGTATTTGAGATGGTGTCGAGATCACCCCGAGTCGATCAGATGCCCCTATCTACCGTGGACTTTGAATCCAAAGACAATTCATTCAGACAACGCATTCAACGATGCCATTGGCTTCATCTGGTGTAATCTCCTTGGTCGGTGTCAACATTCCGATATTTCCGCAATAACGCCACCAAAGACCGTCCAAGTAATTCAAAACGCCCTGGAACACGTCTGCACGAGGTATCCGCCCACGTGTCCCTTCATACCTCCTTCCATGGAGGTCGTCTTATCTTCGATGGAAGTCATTGCCGACGTCTCAAGGCTAGCCACAGCTTTCTTCACCGGCCATGGTCTTGAGGACTACAGTCGCCCAGCCTTGCCAAAATCTCCCGAGACCAGCCACGGCGCCCCCGCTCGCATAGGGCATTCAGACAGTCAAGGCAGTCTTAGTGTTGTCGACAATGCCCTCCGTTCAGCTACTCTGGAGTTCATCTGCGAGGAGCTCTGCAGCCCCTTGTGCGATCACATTCCCTCAGTTATGAGAATCGTTGATTCAATATTGAAGGGCAATGCGGACCTACAGGAACTTACCAATGCATTCCAGTATTACCTTGCCAGAATCACCCCAGCTGATGTCCAGACCCTGACAGAAGGAGCTGAGGATATCTACGACATCTTCGTCGCCACGCCTTCAAAACTGGAGGATCTGATTGACGCTGTCAAAACCGACTTGGGAACGCTCGGCCTTGACGGCACTTGGAGACTGCTCCGAGCTGGTCTATCCATTTACTTCCGTCTCTCCCCGTCGGACGAACACAATCTGCTTCGAACACTTGGAGACATCATTACCCGTTTTGATGCATCCGGTGCTTCGAGCTAGACCACAGGAACTTGATGTGAAGGGTATCCAAGGGTTTGCTGGAGTTTGACGATACGACCAATGGACAAGAGAGCGATTAGTGCACGCACTACACAAATCACAATGTTGCATCGGTTGGTGGAAGTCTCTGTGATCCAGGGTACATTGATCATGAGCGACCGGTTGAAGGACTACACGCGAATGGTGACTGGGGATGAGCAGTATAGCTAGCTACCTAAGTCAATTGATAAGAGCATCGCTTACGCCCAACATAAATGAATGCACCTCAAATGCAATTGTGACACGACCAAACCTCCGACCGGTAGCAAACATTATAGCACTATAGGTTGATACATCGGATCGTAGACTAGTAATCGGATGGCTGGGCCAACGCCTGGTCGCCTTGCCTGTTCGATGAATCACTTGGTAAAAGTTCCGAAAATGTGTGGTACTACTTGAAACCATGTCTCATCATGGGGTTGGCGAATGTCAATATTTGTCCATGGCCCTGCAGACCTAAGGTTGTTACCAGTGTTGCGGCACAGCTGGCAGCCGTTCAAAGCCCGCGGCCAAACCAGATTGACGATACCTAACATAATTAGCATCGATGTCGACCCGTTCAGTCGCGCTCCTTGTGGTTGACTTACGCTGATAGAGGCGGATGGGGCGGCTCTGCATCACCTCGACATGTTCGTACAAATACCACCTGCCCCCTTTCTTGAGATAGGAGTAGAGCTCGGCAATGTTCTTCTCGGGCTCGGGGATGCTGCAGAGGCAGAGAATGGAAACAATGCAGTCGACGCTTCCCTTTTCAATCTTGCCGTTCCACGCCGTGGGGTCGGAGAGAGACTCGATGCCGGTGGGGACGATCTCGTAGGTGCCCTCGAGCCCGGCGGCCTGGACATTCTTCCTTAGTGCGGGGTGCGCCTCGGTATTGGGCTCGATGCCGTAGACTCTCGCCACGCCCTCCGCGACGCGCCTCCTGACGCCGCCGCGCGCCATACCAGCCGCTGCGTCGACAGCCTTCTTCTTCTCGTCGCCGTCGCGGCCCTTGGCGAAGATGTCCACCCACATCCCGGACCCGGGCCCGATCTCCAGCACGACACCGCTGACGGGCGGGTGAACGGGCTCCTCTACGACCTTGCCGTCCGTGACGCGGCCCTCAAGGAGGGCGACCATCATGTCCGACCTGCCCACGCGGATGTTGGGGCCGAGCCAGGCCCAAAAGGCGGAGAACCAGGCGTCTTGGACGCGGGACGGGGTCGTAAGGGCTGCGTAGTCGCCTTCGCGGAAGAGGCGGAGGATGGTGGGGGGGAGGTAGGAGAAGGCGTTTAGGAGGAACATCCAGGGGCCTACGAGGGCCCAGAAGATTGCGGTTGCTTCTGCTAGGGAAGACATGACTTTGACCCCTCGATCCGGAGAGAGAGTGTGGGTGAGAGAGAATGAGGAGTGCCTATGGTATGTTAGAAATGGAAAGTGAGAGGGGGCATGAGCTCAGGGGCTCAGGGGGAGCTTACAGACTGAACAACAGGTTATATACACAGTTAGAGAAACGAAATACCCGAGGGGCCTGGAAAGTGGTGTGTCCCGGCGAGGGCTGGCCGGTTTATAAGTGGGAGCTTCGCGCAAGGAACGGCCGAAATGCCGGGGGACTTAGAAAAGAGGTATTACAGATAGTGAAGTGGGTATATGCATCTATCGACTACAGTGACTAGCTGTCGATGCCATTATCGTACATAGCAACCCCACCAACCCCACCATGCTCCCCTCGGCGTCTAAATCTAGACAGCTTCCTTTGACAGCTATCTCTGTCTCTTCTCTGTCTCTTCTCTGTCTCTCTCTTTTTTCTTTCGTACTCTTCTTGTTTCATGTCTCATCTGTACATCTATTGCGTCTCCAAGCCTTTCTCGTCTCGCGCTCACACGACTGCAATAGTGCCTTCAACAGCGCTTCATATCCTACGAATACTTCCACCCGTCTTCGCTCATTCGGCTAGTCCTGTTGGTTCCTTATCTACGTCTCGCGAAACGCTGACATCGTGCCTGACAGCCCTGGTCTTCCAACGTCATGCAAGCTAGGGGGTCCCGTTCACGACGATTGGCCAGTTTGCGTCCATCCCGCTTCCCACGCCTTCAAGGAGCATTGCGTCTGCTGGCGACTGCTCGAACCCGTCCGCGTTGACGAGGTGCCGTTCCCAATGGAGACAAGTCTCTCGGGCAGCTCCATCGGGCTTCGAAGATACCTATCCATCTGAGGCGCTGGCGCCGTGTAATAGGCACCGGCCCTACACACACACACCAATCCACACAACCGTCAGCATTCATAATCCTGCGGCCACACTGATCAGGACCAGAGAGGCAAAGAGGCAAAAGCTTACCCGCCATTCGAGGTGGTGGTACCAGACGGTGCGGATCGTTGAGACATCGTGGGGAAGAAAAGGGGTAAGAGATTATTGGTGTTTGGTTTGATTGATTTCTTGCAGGTTGCAATGCACGACTACAGTTGTACGAGGATGAATGTTCGCGATAGTATCTACGAGATGCCTCAGATCGCAGCACGGAACAGCTTCAATACATATAGGGAACCTGAGGATGCCATTTCAACCGTCGACCTGCGCGGTTGGCCAGCAGCAAGTTCTGCTCAATTGAGGGAATCGCAAAGGCACGGATGCGCTGTTTAGCCTACGGTTGGCCTCAGTGAGGCTTTCCAGATCTCTCATGAATCTCAGTTGATAAATCGTGGGGAAGGGGAAAGAACACCTCGCGCATCATCTGCGCGACGCTGCGCAATCCTTCAGTCTCGCAGACTACCATCTTTGAGTCGTGTCCAAAGGAGCGGAAGGATATTTTCGGTCACCATGATCGTCATCATTGGCTACACCTGCATACGATTGCCTAGATTTTGGTGCGGATCGTCGACCCCCCTGGCATGGCACAGCCTGCATACTTGAACAACAGCGCAAATGCGCCCTTTCGAATTGTCGCTGTGGCTTTAGTTCGAGGGCATTTCAGAGCCTGCTCTCCCCCTCCTTTCTCCCTCTCTCATTCTTCTCGTTGTTTCTGACGCCTTTTTTCCACATTTTTCTGCTTCGCAATTGCGGATTTCCCATCGGTAATTTTTGGCATTTCCTTTCTGGGCAGCATGGGACACAAGACAATTGCAAGCAGCCGTATGACCAGGCTTGATGCAACACAAGTACACGATGGTGTTGCATCATCGAGGCCATCTGCTGTCGCATCAGCAAGGGTCGATGAGGCCTCCAGAGACCTTGCATATCAATTCCTCCACATGAATCGCTCATCCCGCCGCGCATCCATCGTCAACCACAACACCGAAGTTTCCGAGATGCCTTCACCTTGTGCAGTCTCCTTTGAGCGTCCGCTTTCTTGGACCTTCGATACTCCGCTGCAATCTGGAGACCGGCGTCACTCGTCCTTTGAATCGGAAAACATGCCTAGCCTGGCATATCGTGTCAAACCACAACAACCACAGCCACATAACCCGAGGAAACACCAGAGGGGAAGCCCGTCAGTTGACAGCTTGGAAGAGCGGCCGGGTTCGACAGAGGAGAGACACTGCAAGAGGATCTCGGGTGATTCCGGCTATGGGTCGGATACGCGGCGACGAAGTCGTGACGGGAGCGGAGACTCTTCTGAGTATCAGGACGTGAGGACCAGAGACGTCAAGATCTATCAGCGACCGGGGTCCAACATCCTCATACGCCGATGCCCATCACCTCAGTCGGACAGCGACGGGACCTTGGGTGTGCCGCGACGACGCAAGAGGCATTTACGTAGACATAGCGCCGTTGTCGTTACTCATTCACCTAATGATCCAACTCCTGCACCGAAAGAGATTAGACTTCCAACGCAGAAGACGAAAATATGCGAGGCACTGTCGAAGCAAGGCGAAAGAGTGGCGATCAGCAGAGAAAGCCTGGACGCAGAGACGCATATATATGGCAGTGATCTCTCCGTTTCCATCAAAGGCCTGCGACGAATGAAGGGAACCACGGCTCTGCGCGACCCCGTTGGTAGCCCACGACCCCCAACATCGAGATCAGGGTCATGAGAGCGCCTAGGGCCATCAGGGCACCCAGCATCACTTCAACGGACATTCCGCCTGTTCCCGAGGATAATGCTCCACAACAACAGCCTTCGCTCATCGGATCACCATCCATCCGGAGAAGTTCTACGTTTGGAGATGACCTCACTCGGAGGGCTATGAATCGCTTATCCCTTTTCGAGGACGCAGATGGCCACCCCGTCTCCTTTGCAGGCTCACGCGCCGCTAGGCCGAGCCTACATCTCGATACTTCAATCGAGCCTCGCGCACAGCTTGAACGGCCCCTTCAGCCCACCTCACTTAAATTGTCGCGACCTGTCTCCGGACCGCCCAACCTCCCTCTCAACTGGCACGCAAACCTGACACCTCGGCCATCCTTCCTTGCCGTCGAGGAGCAGTCCGACTCTGCCAACGACAGTGGAGATGAATCATCCATCGAGTCGAGCGTCTTCTCAGTCCCGGACTCCCCCGTGGAGCCGTGTCAACTGAATCGGGATGATCCATTAGCATCGCACATGGACGTCATTGTCGGCAACATCTTCCAACGCTACCAAGAATGGAACGTCCGCGAAAGGGGTGGACAAGGCCGACGAGCCTCGGGCCAACGCGTCAACACCAACACGCCCGACTCCGGTCGTTCGTCGAGGAAACGCTCGCACTCCGACGACCTACCCGACCAGGACGCCTCAGATGGCGGGGACTCGAACGTGATACTGGGATTCAAGAAGCCAAAAGTCCCAGCGAACCCATCGAAGTTGATGTTTGCGTGCCCCTTTTGGAAGAATGACCCCGATAACCACCGCCAATGCTATAAGAAAGTTCTCAGCCAGATAAAGTATGTCAAAAGCCACCTCTACCGGTTCCACGCCGCACCCATCACTTGCCCCTGCTGCGGCGCCGCCTTCCAGGACGAGGAGACGCGGGACCAGCACGCGCGTGCACGGCGCTGTGAGGTAGTTAGCGAGGGGTACATTCCCAGCCACGAGGGCCTCTCCCAGGGTCGAATGCGACAGGTCTCGAAGCGCGCGAACCCTAGCCACAGCCCGGAGGAGCAATGGTTCACTATCTGGGATATTGTATTCCCTTCAAAGCCGCGGCCGTCGTCGCCGTATATCGATGGAGTGCTGTCGGAGGACCTCTGCAGCTTACGAGAGTTCCAGACCAGTATTGGGACGGATATGATGCTGGATTACCTAGCCTCGCGAGATCCTGACTTCGCAAACGATGAAAGGAGGGCCGCCATGTACGATCGCGTTGCATTCAACCAGCTCCAGGAAAGGATTTACGAGGCATGGATGGCGCGTCGCGGTCTCCGACAGATCCACGATGCCAACATCTCCACGACGCCGCCGCGCACAGAGTCCGATGAAGCAAGTCGTGCCTCCCCAGCCAACGGGGTTTCCTCTTCCAGGCGCGAAGACGATCCGGCACAACAGCAGCGGATGCAGACACAGACGCCGCCGCCGCAGCTGCTGCAGCAGCATCAAAGTTCACGGGAGGAGACGACGGCGATGATCCAGCCTACGCCCGTGCCGCCGGATGTGGCTGTGCAGTTCACGGGCCAGGATTTTGGGGAGGCTGATTTCAGTCGCGATGATATGTATTATGACACGCATACGCAGGCGTTGTTTGCTGATTTGAATGGCTTGTTGCCTGGTGCTGGCCGGTCGGAATTTGACCAGGGTGGGTTTGGACCGCCATATGTAAGGTAAGGTAGACGGCTGAGTAGATTTGATTTTTGATGTTTCGTGCTTCCGGCCGGCTCGGTTTGTTCTATACTGTGACCTTATCGCAAACCTGGTCTACGAGAATGTTTATAGAATAGCTCTCTTGATTACCACTACTATATTTAATAAAGAAAAATAAGATCTCAGAACGGAGTGAGTATTCCTCTGCTGGCTGCTAATATTCCCCAACGACTCGTATGTCAAGCAAACACGAGGGTTTATAGCAAACATGTACCGGGAAACCAACCCTCATAACCTTTGACGCGGAAAATGCTGCATTTAATTGCGAACTCCAATGAACTCCAATACCCCAGCCTAATCCTTAGGACGCCCTCCATGCTACGTGCTATCCATAGACCCTCCACACAACCATCTCCCATATCCTTGACCGCCCCCCCCCCCCCCCCCCCCCCCCCCCCCCCCCCCCCTCTCCCCCCCCCCCCCCCCCCCCACCCCCCCCCCACCCCCCACCCCCCCCCCCCCCCCCCCCCCCCCCCCCTTCCCCCCCCCCCCCCCCCCCCCAATCACCTCCCTCTAACTCGTTTCTTCTCACAGCAACACGACAGCCAAACAAAGCCAACCGTCCGGATACGCCGCCTCGCGCATCAAATCCTCCAACGGCGCCGAAAACGGCACGGGCGAGCCGTGCAGCACGACGTTGGCGAGGATGGGGTCCCGGCTGGAGGGGAATAAGCTGGGCAGGTGGGCCTGCAGCGCGCGGCCTAGGGTCTGGCGGGTGCGGGTGCCGGGGATGACGGGGGGGACGAGGGTTTGGAGGACTTTGAAGGCGCCTGCTCCGGGGGTGTCTCCTGCTTGTGCCGGTGTTGGTGGTGGTGATGTGGTATCGGTGTTGGTGACGGTGTTGCTGCCGGTCCCGGGCGGGGGCGAGGACGGGATGTAGACGCGCAGGGGCACGTTGCGGAGGGGGGTGGGGGCGTTGAGGAGGAGGGCGTTTATTTTTGCAAAGGAGGCGTAGTCGTTGTCTTGGACTGCGTTCCAGAGGGACGAGGTGTCTGCTTTGGAGAGGGACATTATGCGTTTTGCGTTGCCGTAGCGGACGAAATCTGCCTGTTTTTGGGGGGGTAAATTAGAGTGTATTAGGGGCATTTTTGAGTCAGGTGAGGCAAGATTGAGAACTGGGATTTGGATAAGAAGGTCTGGAGCGTTCTTTGTTCGATGTGGGTGTGTGTTCCAGTGTGAGGTGATGACGGAGGAGAATGTGGAAAGTGGAAAGATGGAGGGGCAGGTGATGATGTGTTTGTCTCGTGGCGTTGTGGAAAAGCAAAAAAAATAAAATAAAAAAAAAAAACAGCTTTGGGATGAGAGACATATGTTCAGGTAGCGTGGAATGGGCATGTAGCCGAGAAGATGGGTAAATTTGATTCTCAATGTTTAGGATGAGACAAGGGAGCGATAGTGAAGACATGACGGGAAGGGGGCGGGGGTTCGAGAAACAGAGACAATGAAAGAGGTTGATAAAAGACACTGAAAAGAGGTTGGAGAAAGAGACAAGACATGTCTCTTTCGTAACTCTACTCACCTCTTTGACGCAGTTGAGAAAGGTGTCGCCGATATCCCAGCTATCGCCATCGCTGACGGTCAGGCGCCACGGTAACGTCGGCTGGTAGAGGTCGACGAGGAGGCCGAGGGGTAGGTTGCGGAGGAGGAGGTCCTCGTGGTGGAAGGCGGAGACGGGGTGGCGGAAGAAGGCGGAGCAGCGGGGGACGAGGAGGGCTAGGTAGGAGAAGCGCGGCAGGGAGGTGACGAGCGGGGTGTTTGGGGCGGAGGGGTGGATTATGTGGAGGGGGATCTGGGCGGACCAGAGGGTTTGGGGGATGGATGACATGGTTGTAGATGGGGGAGATTGTGGTGGGAGTGAGGTTGGGATGAAGGGTTTAGGCGTCTCGGTGGTGTAGTGAGATGAGAGGCGGATGAGAGACGGGTCAAGGATTCATCGTAGGTGGTTGTGTTTGATGCTGGATCGGGTCTTCTATGCGGCCGGTGACGAGCTTTGAGGTACGCAATGTGTTTGTAGGCCAGAAGAAGCACGACGGGAGTCCGGCGCGGAGGCTCTAAGGAGTGACGTTACAGATTATCCGGCGTTGAACAAGTGACGGTCGGGACGGAGGCGGAGGTGGGGCACCTTGTCCGTCAGGAAGGCACCAGAGCCCGGCCGAAACAAAGCCCCGCCATCCGATGATTACCTAAGCTACGGAGTACCAAGGTACGAACAGCAGCAGCACCGCGTTGCCTCTTTAAGTTACCCGGGCCATCCCTGGAACTCCCACAAAGCTCACCCTGCACACCTCCAGCTCCCAGCTCGCACACCATCGGCATTCTTTCGTCCTACCTTGGCTTACTGTGTTGTGTAACCCTCAGCTTAGGCCCCAGATTCCCAGTACGGCGTACGGATAGCAGGACGTGGTCGGGGGATTTTCTCTGCCTGACAGCGGCTCCTTCCATGTCCACAGGGAACGTCCCTCCTTGGAGTCCATGCCTTCCGGGCGGCACTAGGGGGCGCTGGGGCGCTGAGCTGAGAAGATCCTACTGCAACTGCACCTCACTTCTTTTCATTTGGATGTGGTTTCAACCTCAACAACTACGCGCATTTCTGTTGGTCATGCTTTTCCAGCATCGGAACCGAGACATACTCATCCATGGTTGACTTGAGGCAACTAAAACACCATGGTGGACGGTGCTATCACGGCGAGATGTTGACCACCATGAAGCCCGCGGCAAAACTTTTGAAGCATGTCCGGCAAGGCGAGCCAGACATCACATCGCATATCAGGCATCACCATCTCGCTCTTATTGCGCGTACTTCGCACACTCCGTACACTCCGCACACGCCGTCCGCCCGCGAGCGTCGAATCGCCTCGAAGAATCCGTCTTTGAGCCTTGTTGCCTGCGGATCTTTCCATGAGAACGGATACGGGATAGAGGCCCAGCCTTCCAAGATTACTGTACGATCCAGCCATGATTCGTCGTCCGCCTCAAGCGCGTGCGGCGCGCCGAAAGGAGTCGGCATGCAAAAAATCCTGGAAAATCACTTCAGCGGCACGTCGTGGTCGGTCGAGACTCGATGGTTGCACATGACCCGGTCGATCATCCTCGCTTCGCGTCGACCGCCGAATCGTCGTCGCTTACGGAGTACATGCGTCTCGTCATTTTCGTATGGATACCTACACCCATCGCTATTTTCAACACGCTGCTTGGCCAATCTTGCCCGCCTTGTCCAATGTCTGCCGTCTTACGGATACTGCTGTCCCGTATCCACTGGTTCCCAAACCGGCTACCGACGAGCAGGGACAGAGGACCTATCCAAGGACCAAAGCTATCTCTCGGGGAGCTGTCTTCTGGTTTTTTCTGCTCACTGAGTCGTCAATAATTTGAATCGCCGACCACTGTTCGCACTACTTTTCGTCCACTACCACGCTATGGGATATAGACTGTCACTCCTCGCACACCCCTTGGCCTTCACTTGTCTTCGACCCGGCGGCCGATGCTACGCGGCAGGCAACACGCCGCACACGCAGGCAGGGCACAGGACGCAGGTAAAGGAAAAAGCAAAAATACACCGCGTGCCACGCTGTAGCTCCGAGACAAGAGGTTTGGTTACACGAGAATGAACCAAATGTCCCCACCCTCTGTGTCTCTCTCTCTCTCCTATGATGTTCAGGCATCTCTCAGAATCTCACTCTCTTTGGCTCTGAAGCTCTCTAAGTTCTCTCCATCTGGGGGTGTTATCCACCAACCAGGAGCTTACACAACTCGCACACCCCTCCTTCGTTGAGCTTTTCTGCCAACAAGCTCCAGCCTCCGCCGCCATCTCATACAACTTCTTCCCAAGACATTCCTTTTCCTTTATTTGCTTTTTTTCTTTCCTTTGCAAAACCTCTTTATTTTCCCCAGTCTTGGGGGCAGGCCTTGGTCGCATTCGGGACCGTGTCGGTGGCCACAGCACATTATGGACAATATTTCCCCGGAATAAATCTCACCAACCCAGTCTGACCGTTAGACCACGAGGTTGGGTGATCACTGATGCGTTCACAAGGCGTGGGGCGGGGAGGGGACCAATAATCCTTTGGAGATCAAAATGCCAGGGTCTTTCGTCAAAACATGTCCGCGTCCATAACAAGTTGCGACTGCAGTATCTCACATGAGCGACTCAATCTATCCGTACATCTCACCATATCTCTTACCATCTCCATATCCCAGAGCGGTCAAACCGCCGCGGATTCAGACGGAGGGGGGTGGTGACGAGTCAATACCCCCAAGACCAAACTAGAGCGAAACCCTTTTTGTTTTCTTCCTTTCTTAACGCGTACTTTCACGCTTTCTCATCTCAATTTTACCATCACCAGGAGGGGATTCCATAATGGCGCTTTAATGCCGTCCTAGCGTAGTTCACTAATCGGCAATCGAGGCGAGCTATCAGATTTCCAGAGAATACTGCGCGTTAGCACCAGCAAACGCATCCCTGTCAGCGTCGCGCTGCTGGCTAGGCACCTCTATTCGTGTACACACTTCACTCTCACACACACACTTCAACAAGTCTCTTGGAATGCTATCCAGGGTTTTACGATAGTTAAAGTCGAAAGCGAGTCTAGCACCTCCTTTTACACTACCTTAGTAACGTAACTTTGGGTAACTCTGTCTGGCTTCTGTTTCTTTGCTTTTTCTTCTTCTTCCTGTACAGGTCTCATACCGGCAATGGATTACCTATATCTGGCATGTTCTGCTCTTCCCGCCCCCATTTCCAGACTTTCTATGCGTTACTTTGTAGAGTCTACATAATACTTGGTCGACGCCCCCCTCCACGCTCCCCCTCTCCTTTCGTCACTTCTCATTCCTGATAGAATCACTCAAACGAGATGGCTGCGCAGCACAACGCAGCAGCAGCAGCAGCAGCACATGCGCTGCGACCTTCTTTCATGTCCTTGCATCACCTCACCCTCTCTCTGCCGCTGACGCCGCCCTGCTCT